TATATATATATATAACTCTAAAAAACGCTTTTAGACGAAATTGAATAGTGTTCCGTCCCACTACGAACATACTATATCTGTTGCAGTTTTGCCTAAAAAACAACCGCGGATCTATAGGAGTCGTGGTGGTTTCTCGTATTTTTTTGTGTGAAAAAATACCGTCACGGATATAGTAGGTCCATTGTGGTCATTTAATCCATGCCGTCCAAAAAAATTGAACGGCTCGGAGTCTAGAGATGAAAATACTATTCATTTTCGTCTATAAACGTTGCATAGTCGATTCCTCTATATATATATATATATATATATTCATAGAGACATTGGTCAGTAAAGACAACAGTGAGAAAAAGACATGAGCTAATGTATAAAATGGAAGACGTAGACTGGGTGAGAGAGAGAGAGAGTTTAATGTAATCTTAAAGAAAGTTGAGATCGATGGCTTATAGTGTACGGCGTAAATGTTAAGGAAAAGAAAAAAAAAATCCCAGGATTCAAAGAAAAATATTGACTCACAAAGTTTAGCCTTGCGCAGGGTTAGCATTAACATGCGCCAATTGGCTCACATGCCGACACTGCATTGGGAGGCTCAAAGCATTGCCAAATGTGGCGTGAAAGTTCCACTGCTGCAGTGCATGGCTTCCCATATTCTTCAAAAAAAAAAAATTTAAAATTTGCACCAGCTCCAAGCAAATATTCTTCTTAAAAAAAAATGCCTCCCATATTCTTCTTAAAAAAATTTGAAAATTTACACCACCTCCAAGCAAATATTCTTCTGAAAAAAACTTTAAAAATTTGCATCAGCTCCAAGCAAATTTCAAAAATATCTGTCTCATATTCCTCTTAAAAAAAATTTAAAAATTCTACAAATAAATTTAAAATCTGACACATGGCGCTCATATTCCTCTTAAAAAATACTGACATGTGGCGTCCTACTGATAGTGGTTTAACATGACCAACAAGTACTAACAGAATCAGGATATTGAGCTGGCTATTCCAGAGGGGTGTCGTCCAAATCCCAATATATTGAGAGATCCAAAACGCTGTCAACAATTCCCGATTTAGATCGGAACAACCAATTTTTAAACCTTGATTTTAACTAAGGAAAAAAGAAGTAAGAATTTTGAGCCTACTAGTGTAATTTTCTCTTATTATTTGGGTTTCTTTTTCCGTTTTGAAGACTTTTCTGCCTCCAAGGAAACACCGTACTTTTCATTCTCTCTGTATTAATGAAAAAAAGTTGTTAGCTCTTTATCGTTGTCTTATCAGACATATCTTCTTTTTTCCTTTCGGTGAAGAATTTGTCCAATTCATCAATCCAGTTCTAATTGGTGATTCATAAGTCGTCGTATTGTTGCTTATGGAATCTTTCTTGTAAAGTAAATAATATAGTTGTAGTAATTAGAATAGAATATAGTTGCAGTAATTAGAATAGAATATAGGATTTTCGAATAGAATACAAAATGAAATTAAATAAATGATAAAGACATTCATATTCTATTCTAGAATATGTTTTAGAGATTAAAACAAGAGCAAAAGTTGTTTCAATAACAAGGAAAGTTTTTAAGTGTTTGACTCAGGTAAATTATTTAATCTATCATTCATTTGAACAAGAAAAAAGAATAGCCTGGCCTAGGTACTGCCTACCCGGGGAACAAAAGAACTAAAACAGAAGAGAAAACAAATCTCGGTTTCAAATTGTTATTTGTAATATAAATTTGATTGCTAATACAATTCAAATATACCTCTACCTTACAAGAGAAATATTCTTACGAAATTTTACAATCCAATTTGGAGAGATGGCTAAGTAGATTAAAACGTCGGATTTGCTAATATGTTGTATGATAATTTAATTAATATTAGAAATCTTTTAGTGGAAGGCTGATAAAAGACAAAGGATAAACTAAAAAAGTTATGATTGGAAATAATGAGAAAAGATATAGGGATTTCTGGCCTCACTGAAAACAAGGTTAATGATAGATAAGAATGATAGATAATATTAGAAATATTTCCTATGCATTTGATTGGATAACATTAGAAATATTTCCTATGCATTTGATTGTAGGATTCATGCAATCACTTTTCTTAGATTAAATGTTGCAAGATGCATTATTTATGAGACTCAAAATTATATATATATATATATATTCACTCATCTCAATGTCGAGATAATTATATTCACTCATCTCAATGTCGAGATGATTATATTCACTCATCTCGATGTCGAGATGATCAATTAGAGGGTTTTCAATATTGAAACAACCTTTTCCGATGGATTTTTAAGATGCATCTTGAATTCTACATTTTATAGTTGCAACCTTATATAAACTTTATCCATTATGAAATTTCTACTATTTAATAGGATAGCATTAAAGGAGAAACGTAATTATAATTTCTAATTTCTTACAAAATTTGTTTCAATATTACATTGTCTTACTTTTTAATGAGAACCATGAAGCTGTACATGTCACTCACGTTTGTGTATATAAGAAATAAAACCACCTTCTGAAAATCTTGTTACTATCATTTAATGATTTCAAGCAACATTTGAAAAGGCAGACCAATGGGTTGAACTTACCCACCTGGTTTTAAATCAGATCAGCCGATTTGGCAAGCCCACTCAACTTCGAAAAAAGAAAAAAAAAAACATTGTAATCATTAGATTATAATTATTAAAAAAATTTAGGACTGGTCACCCACATGTTCCGCTTTAAACTGCCAAAACCATCCGATCCAATCCCCTTTTTTACCCCCCCAACTATTTTTATGCAGTATCAACCACTGTCAAACACTGAAATTTTGAAAAAGTCATGATTCAGAGGTGGATAAAAGCCTAGAATCAGAACCCGTACCAGATGGGATCGGAATCATCCATCAAACGCAGCAAGACTTGGAGAACTCTATAACTCAAAATCCACTCTCTCCTTTTTGGAAATCAATCAAGGTAAATAGAAAATGATTCCAAATTTTGAGGAAAAAAAAGTAATAAAAAAACATCCGCAACGTACGTAACCTGGGGGTGACCATAGGCACCTCGTAACGACCATACATACTCCTACAGTTTCAAAACTCACTTCCGCTCTTGGCCTTCCAAAAATCTAGCCCAAATCGATGAGTCTGATCCACATTGGGCAAACCGGAACAATTCTCCTATGTGAGAATCTGTCCCAAAAACTAACAAATAATTTTAATTGTGAAAAATTTAAAAACTAAAAAAAAAAAAGGTGTTAACCTAATGATTTAGATCGGTTGATTCCTTGACAGACTCACCTGATTCAAGGCCCAAGCGATCTATAGGAATAAGACCAATTCCTAATTCCGACTAGGAATCGAGTCAGCCCCCACCAATTCCTGGTCTTGATCAGCAACACCAGATTCACGATGGCAAATTTCAAACAGTGCGTGCTCACAATAATAAATCCAATGAACCTAAAAAAATTATGATGTCTAAGCGGTCCACAAGCCCACAAAATATAGCCCATCCCAGGGATCACAACGTAGTTTGGAAGAAACAAATTCCCAAAATAATAATTAATCATCCACAAGTTGAAATGACACAACATAATTAACCAAGTACATGCTTCTACAACCAAAACTGCTGAACGCTGGAAGTCGATGAAACAGCGCAATGGAATGAATATGTGTCACCTATATTACCAATCTATATCTAAGTACTTTTGTTTCTGGTAAACAGCATCTTAGGCCCCAACAACTTCTGTCACCCCTTCCAAAGGCACATCCTCTGCTGGTCTATCCACCTTCACGCCCACGTCATCCGAGTAATCACCATGGACCTAGAGGAGAGAGAGAGAGATAATATAATGAATTTTAGATGCACAAAACTCCGATCAAGGTTCAATAATGTAGATGTTAAGACTCATTCGGCAGGGTCAACAAACAGAAAGTTCAGGTTCTCAAATAAATTAAGGCTGAACTCTAATCTCAGAAAATTTATGAAGCTACAGGACAACAGTTATCGCGTGGACATCAACAATTTCAACAAGCATAACTGACACTGTTTCTCTTGTAAATCTGATTTTATAATTATAAACTAAACAACTAAGGTGCACTTACCTCCATGAGCTTCCCAAGATCAAATTTCGGGGCCTTCAAAATCTTCACTTTACGGATGAATACGTTCTGGAGAGGGTAGATACTCATTGTCACCTTTTCAATCTCTTTCCCAATGACCTCAGGGATAAACTTTTGCACTAGCTCCTTGAGATCACAGGATGTAGCCTGGTTGATCATTACCTCTCTCATCTTGCGCCGAATCTGAATGCCAATCACAATCACTCAGAACCTACATGCCATCAAGAGAGGGAGGGAGAGAGTCTACTTGAAAGTTGTTTCTATCATTTGTTAGTGCAGAAAGATAGAGAAACTACTGCTTGATTTTATCAATTTTGTTAAGGGGGGGAAGAGCATACTGACTGATTCCATCACATCTTAGTGAACACAGACATATCTGATTTATTCTATCATTTGTTAAGTGGAGATAAAAAAGAGAGAGTCAGAGAGCTGCTTAATTCTACAATATGTACATGGAGAGAGAGAAAGACAGAGGAGGAAGGGAGGGAGGGAAGAAGGGACGGCGGTAGAGGGGGTAAGAGAAGAGAATGATCTTTTACCTGCCTAATTTGGCTAGTTTGTGCATAGCAAGTTCGCTTGACCTGGTTAGGCCGCCTCTTTGTGAAACCGATACAAAACATACGTAAGGTGTAGTTGTCGGTTGTCTTGACATCCACATGTGCCTCAATTAGTGTCTGCCACTTGCGGACTAGGGACCTTAGCTTGTCTGTAGTAAAATCCATGCCCTAAAAACCATAAATGAATTGCTTATTTTGTAACAAAGTTTCACAATATTACAAAATAAAAAAACTTGGAACCACTTCATACTCATCCTCAAACCTGATGGAGACCAATCCATCATCAAAAGATACGAAAAAAACATAAACCTTTTCTTTTATTATTGTTTGAAACCGACACCAAAATGCATATAGTGTATGTCTCTAAGGAGGTACTGCATATATATGTATATAAAATAAGAAGAAAATGAATAATAAGAAGTTTTCTAAGGAGTAAAATAAATACCCAGAAATTGGTGAGGACATTCCTTCCTTGGATGTCCTCGGCCCGAAGCCTGATCTTTTTGTAGGCCTGATCTTCGTCATTCTGAAGGTCAGCCAAGCAGCATTCAAACACTCGGTGTTTAAGGCCCTCAGAAGCAATCTGCAGAAGAATAGAATTAGAACCAATTAATGGATCAAAGTTAGCATTAAGACATTCTGGATCAAACATGAATTTTAGCAGACGAGAGTATAAAAGGGGCCATTAAAATATTGCATTTGCAATATAACTGGAACAAAATCTAAATTTGAAGAAAGAAAATCATACGATCCCATTGGATTCATCTAATATATTTATTTAAGGAAAGAAGAACTTTGAGCATCCTTCAATACCCTACCAAAGAAAGAACAAAACCATAACCGATGACATGCCATGACCATATCATAACTCTACTCTTGATGAAATCGCATCAAAGGGCTGGCCGGAATGAATTCCATATTTTGACGTTGTACTAGGGACTTTGGGTTATTTTCATATTTTGGAATTGTTTTATTTGTTAAGTACCATTTTTGTCATTTATCATTTAGGGGATACTTTGGGTTTAGTTTAAGTTTAAGATCACGTAGAGAGTGGTGTAGAGTTCCTATGTAGTCAACAAGTCAAAGTAGGGTAATGTTGTTGAGTTCCCATGAGTCAAAGCAATGTTCGCCTACTCGGGCCGAGTTTCAAGGACTCAAGCAGAGTATCCCCGAGTATGTTGTCCCACTAGGGGATCTTAAGAAAAATTCAAAAAAAATAATAAAAAAGGGAATTTATTTGTGATGTGTTTTTTTTATGTTTTCTATCATTTTGGCAAAGATTGGAATGTGTTTTGGCCATGAATACTTATTTTTTGATAAGAGTACTACTCTCGAATATCTAGACGAGACATAAGTTTGAAGTTTTCAAGAGGAACCGCAGAAGGGCAAATTAGTCATTGAGTCTATCCTTTAATGTATTTTATTTATTTCATGTCTTTTAATTCACTTAGAGGAATAAGTAGCAATTTCTAGAGTCTTTTATGTCTTTCTATTCACTGAAAGTCTTTTATAATAAATGGTATCTTAAAATGCGGGAGATGCAGCCCGATACGTTGGGGGGGCCGATGCGGCTCGATGCAGTCCAAATGCGGGTGCATCACTCGGATGCGGTCAATAAATATAAAAAAAATTCTAAAATATCTAAAAAAAAAAGTTAATGCATAGAAAAAAATATAAAGGTGATTTATGTGATGTTAAGTAATTAATTTATTCATTAACTTAAAAAGTATCAACTGTCAGAGATTTTGTATCCACTATCCCTTGATAGATCATAGAATACATTAGAAAGTAAAAACTAGAAACTAGCTTCATAAATCATTCAACAATCATAATCACAAATTTGCAACCACAAACTTCAAAGTTACGAAACACAAACTAAAAATCCATGAAGATTAAAGAGTACAAACAAATTTGTATTCACTATCCCTTGTTAAATCATGAAGATTTGTTGTCAAAACTTCACTAAAAATTCCTCAAATCAACTCCCAAAAGAAATAAATCAACAATCAAAGATCAACCACAAAAATCTAAGAACTTCAAAAATTTCCACCATTTTTTTTTTATTGATTTGATGAAGTAAAGGCCACAGATGTGGCTGTTTTAAGTAGTTTGGGGAGTTTAATCCCCCCCCCTCTCCCCCCTCCTCCCAAAAAAAACCCTTTCCCCTCTTTTTCGGGGCTTAAAGTCGAAATTACCCCTTCTCGAGTAGCTTGTTTTCACATCACTCACTGGCCGCATATGCAAGAGCATCCTCCAAATCGCATATGCAGCCTCATGAGATGCAATTGCCAGCTCATAACACATTATTCCGCCGTAAATATGGCGATGTGGCTGCATATGCGGCAATGAGGCTGCATATGCAGCAGTGCAGCCACATTTTAAAACCATGATAATAAATGGCCATGATTAGATTAGATGGATGGCCAGGATTAAGACTTGTTTAAGGTTTTCTTATATAAGGAATGTACTTACGCATAATGGATTATCAAAAAGCGCTAGGCGGGCCCTAGGCGGCCTGGGGGGTCCAGGCCGCCTAGCGCCTAGGCGGGCACCCAGAACCTGGCGGCTGCCCAGTTGAAAAGAAAAGTAAAAATCCCAATATACCATATTCCAAGTTGAAAAAAACAAAAAAAAAAGATAAGAGTCAAGAAGAGAATTTTGATAATCCATATTGTTAAAACGGGTAAACTGTAAAACCATACAAGTGTAGGGTATAAAAGTCAACACTCAACACAATAGAAATTTAGAAAATATACAGTATAACAAAAGTCAACACTTATGACCCTCCTCTTCTTTTACCTTCCTCTTACTAGTATGTGCAGTCTATGCAGATGAGGCCATCGGAGTCTTGGTTGCTCTACCCTTTTTTTTGTGCTTCTTTGAACTCAAATATTGTATAATTTCCTCCTTGGTAGCCTCAGGAACATTTTTAAACCGGACAACATCCCCCGTCATACCGGCAAGGTGTTTTTTAAACCTGTAAATGCCTCATTTGTATCCTTTCCACAATAATTACATTTAATACGATTTTTATCACTTAGATTCGGGTTATAACCATACTTCCGGATCACCACTCCGACTAGAAACTGGAGAAGATACTTCCATAGAACAAGGCTTATTTTCATCTTTTTTTGGTTATTCAAAAATCAGAAGAAGTCTAATTTCATCTCGAACTGCTTCAGGAACCTTTGTACAAGAAGCAACATTACCTCTAACACCAGCAAGGTGTTTTTTGAATCGGCTAATACCCCCAATGGTATCTTTTTCACAAAAATTACACCTTATACATGTTTTATCATTTGGTTTTGGGTTGTACCCATACTTCCAACCTGGATCACTTTTTCTAAGAGTAGCAGAAATAGATCTATGATAAGGATTTTGTTCTTGTTTTTGTTTTCCATAACTTAAAAATTGCTTAATCTCCTCCTTGATAGCTTCAGAAACATCCCCCTTAATACCGACAAGATGTTTCTTAAACCGGTTTATGCCTCCTTTTGTATCTTTTTCACAAAAATTGCATCTAACGCAATTTTTGTCATTTGGATTCGGGTTGTATCCATATTTCAGACCCCGATCTCCACTCTAACTAATTCCTGAAGAAGACATCTCAAAATAAAACAAGCAATCGAAAAAATGCACCTACTTTGGTTGCTTGAGCTCCAAACTTTGAGAAACATTTCGATGATTCGATCCAATGAAATGTAGTTTTTTAGAAGTTTCTGTTACTCTAAAAGGGGTTCTGGTGGGTTTAGGGTTCAAATGAACCTAAAAGCCATCATTCTTAACTTTTATATCTTTGAAAAAAATGAAAAAAAAAAAAAAGCTTTTTCCCCCTGGCCAGGGCTGGCGTTAGGTGGCCGCCTAGGCGGATTCCGTACCGCCTAGGCGGCAGCCCAGGGAAGACCGCCCAGTTTGACCGCCAAAGCCTAGGCAATGCATCCAGGCCTTCTGGAACACCTAGGCGACCCGCCTAGGCGCTGGGTGGTCCGTTTTTTTGAACTATGGCAACAAGTGCTCCTTCTTTTATCTCTGGTTTTGCATCCTTTTCTAATTTTGGATTGTCCTTATTTTCTTCTCTGTTAAACCCTAGCTCCAATAGAACCAGTAGCATTTCAATAACTTGACTCACCTTAAACAAGTAGGGTACTCCTGTCAATTAGTTAGGGCCGCTTAGCTGGATCAAATTACTAAAAATGGCCCCACTTGTTCAAAGTTCCCGACCCCCAAAAAGGAAATTTGAGCATGTTTTAAGATTTTTAACTTGACCTCCTTAATGACTATGTGAAGGGCCATGCCCCTAAAACGATATTTTCACTACTTGTAAACATACTATGAGAACACACATGAGGAATGGCTAGGTGAAAAAGACCAAACAATCCAAGACAAATATGGAATCCTTTTCCCAAACATGGCTCAAAATGGGGGCTGAAGCAAGTCTTAGACCGAGATAATATATTTAGAAAGGAGGAAATGTGGATGAGGACAATGCCTATGATGGCAATGCCAATGAGGAAAATGCGAAAGGCTTTTTTTTTTTTTTTGGGATGAAACAATGCAGAAGACAACGTTGTGACAAGGATTATCACAGGGCATGCAATATTAGCCATGCTAATTGCAGTGATGATGGGAGTGTCAAAGATTGGGTCCACCTCAGTGATTTTGGCTTGCTTAGTGCTATAATCATAACAAGGTTTATATCGTAGCATGGATATATTTGTAGTGGTTTAGCTGATGTGCGAAGTTTATGGACATGGCATATAAACCAATAATAATTCTTCTAGCAGAAATTTATGAATGTAGGTATATAGAATAAAACATTGTCTTTTATTTATTTATTTATCTATTTATTTACATAAAAATAAATAAATAAACATAAGATGGACAATGCTTTAGTTTTTATTGGTTGCTATCATATTTCATTTTGTAACCAATTGATAAATTTTTATTTCCCCCCCCATTCATGCTACCTCATGTTTATGATGTAACTGGGATTGGAAATTTATAGGTTTTAGATTTGCACATTTATTAATTTAATACTATAAAAAACCTAGAGCATATTAGTGTGGCTCCTTTTTTTAATTTTTTGTGAGAAAGAATTAGCTTACTTCAGCTTATGTTAAAGTTTTATGGTACTCCCTAGTTGGGATTAAACCACAAATTTTTCAGATGAATCTCATGTGAATGAATGCTTCAAGAATAAAGAGAAAAAATTAATAACAAATAAGGTAAAGACTATGTACTTCAAAATGTTCACAATAGCACCTAAGCTGCAACATATGCCACCTTTAATCCCCAAACACGAGGACACCCATTGGTTATTGAGGATAAATTTTGAAGATAAAAAGGTGAAGGACTATTAGGTATTGGAGGAACTGGGAAGATCGAGGATGAACTAGGCCTTCTATATAGATCGTCATTAAACCAGGTAGGATAAGGGCATCAAGAAAGAGATTCTTAGTGGAGGAAATGTGGTGTTGGATTAGGTTGGTCCTATGAGTGTGATCAATGATAAAGTTCTCAAATAGACAAATGCCCTCAAGGGAAAAGGTTCCTAGACAAGTTGAGGAATTCAGAGGGGGAAAT